CCCTCAGGAAAATCTGTCCCATTAACATGAGGCATGCATGTTAGCTCAGGAGCCTTCTCATGTATGTGCTTGATCTTTCTTGGCATCACAATTCCCCTTGCAGAGGGAGGTAATGGTTAAATAGTGCTGAAAGAGTCTGCCACAAAGGGAATAATAAATTCATTTTCTCTAGCACCTACAAACAGCAGCATTTGTCCCCACTTGTCTGCATCAGTTGCTGCCACCCTTGGTGTGAGACAGAATGACAGAGTTGTCAGATGGAGCATCAAGAAAAAATATTAGAAATTTTCATTTTGTTTCTTAGATTTGGCAGATGAAGAATGTTTAGCTAATACAATTAGAGAAGAAAGGATAGGTGTTTTCCTTGTTCTAAGTAATTATTTTTCTGTACTTTTCTATTAATTTAAAAATTCTTCACTTGAAATTGCCAGGAACTTTGGACATTAAGTGATTACTGGTGATTTTATTTCTGAGTAGTGACTAAGACAGTGTCTTGCTTGTAGAATATAGGTATTTTATTAAAAGAGCTGCAAGTGCCAAGAAAATCTATTTCATAAGATTGCTGATGGAAATTTAGCCTTGAGCATTGTCTGAACTTCAGTATGTAGCAAAAAGGTGGGAATTAGATTAACTTGGGGTGGGGTTTTTTTTGTTTTGAGTTTTTTTGGGGTTTTTTTCTGTCTGAATGCAAGAAAGGTGGTAACATGGAGTTGTGTGCTGGGACTTGCACTTTCCATTTAATGGCTTTAAGTTCTCTTAAGTTTGGCACTAAAACTTGCTAAATCTAAGGATGGATGTTCTTACCAATTATTTGATGTCAGATATCTTCCTGGAGTTCATCAATGCATTATGAGTCTGTGGGAGTGTGTCTTTTGCTGTACTGGATAGTGCCTTTATTGGAAAACTTGGAATTCTTTTCTGATGAACACTCTGAAGTGCCATGCCTGGGGAATAGGAGTTATCTGAAAGGAAGCTGACTTTTTGTACAAAGTTTCTGTGCTTCCCATTTTATCATGTCAACAGATGGGAAAAGATAGAAATCATTTTTTGACTAGACTATCTCTGCATAGATTTCTAATTTTATGGTTTAGGTCTTGCAGAAAAGGAATGTTGTATTTTCTGTCTTGTCTTCAGGAGACCAAGTAGAGTTGTATAATGCTTCTTTACGTACTAAATTTTTAAAATTTCTAGCAATTATTTTTCTTTTCTCTTTTCATAATGTCTCCATTTAGTTCACAATTTAATTTTTTTTAGCTGAGCTGAGAAACTTTAATTCAAATGCTTCAGCTGAGTCCTTATCAGTGCCAAGTGGAGTGGAAGGGCATTGCCTTTTTCTTGGATGACATGCAGAGGAAGAGCTATTGATTTTGTCCCAGAGACAGTCTGAGTCATGGCTTTGTCAGACAGCTTTATTAGCCATTGGTTAGCTCAGCTGAGATATGATTTTCGCCCATTTTTGACTAACACCAAACTCCCAGTGGGAAATCAGAAGGTGCAGTGCACTTGCTCATGATAATTGCTCTGGCAACCATGGCAATCTGACAATTTCCTTAAACATCTATCAATCCACTGTTACAATTAACTCTTCTGCTAGACATTGACTCATGACAAAGAGATGATCCATCATCCTAATCTTCCTTTTCTGCTCTGGGGGAAGTGAGCTCCTTGGCTGAAAATCAAAAGTTGACCTAATGCATTTGTTATAGGAGGAGGAATTAAGAAAGATAGAGGCTGAAACAATCTTAGCTGGACTCTGATCAGTGCTGTTCCTTTTCTATTAGATCTCCTAAGGCAAATGTATCGTCTTATTGAGCCTTGGGGAAATGAAGTTAAGCAAAGTTTTATTGATTGTGAGGTGGCTCATCTGGGAGGAGCTTCAGAGCATGGTGAGAGGCTGTGGTTATTCAGCACGTGCTGCTGGGAAAAGTTTGCTGTTCCCTAAAAGTGTTCTTTGTGCCATCCCTTAGAAAGGTTGGGGAACTGGGAACGTTCCACCATGTGTTCCATTCATACAGTATGTCTGTGAGACCATGGGCAATTTTATTTTTTTAATGCCCCTGAGATTCATCTAGCATTAAATACCCAGGTAACTGTGATCTTCCATTATGGAGGCTTTGCTTGGTAGGTCCTGGAAGAGCCTTGTGTTTACACAGGATTCAGCCCTTTATTGCTGTCTTTGCTGGACAGTAAAAAGCAGTGTATTCTTCACAGCAAGGCCCTTAAAGTGGTGGTTGTACTCTCCATTCTGTCCTCTTATCTGAAGAGGATAAGGACATTCTGTGTTTACAGAGATATCCTGTGATGCAGCCATTTCATAAACTGAACTGGAATTCATGAATTTTTGCATAGGCAGCATCCCAAGGTAGTCATGCCAGACCCAGTTAGTAGATTAGGATTACCTAATGGTGTGTTTTATCTGCCCAAATTACTGTGATTGTCTAATTTATTGGATAACATAAAACATAATTTAATACTCTTGTACAAAATGGGGCAGTCATGTGAATTGACAAGAAACCTGTAAGCTCTGAATTAATTCATGGCTTAGTGCAAGGGAAGTTTCACTGATGCTTCTGAAGATGGAACAGAGCTATTGCCTTCACAAAATGCACTTCTGATGTTCTTGTCATACACTCTCTTGTGAGACAAAGCAGATTGCAGATCTGTGTAGGAAAGGAAATTCAAAACCAGCACTAATGGGGAAGTTTTAAAGAGGTATTTAAGCTTTAAAGCAGTAAATATATTATCATTTAAATATATATTTTATGATACTACCTTTGTACCGTAAGTTCAATTTTATATTTATGTTACTTTGCTTAAAAAAAAAGGAGTGTGTCCTTCAATATTGGTTGTATAAATATAAATATTAATGTACCACATAACTGTTCTCTCTGCAGTTCTTGACATTATTGTCTTCTAGCTTATTTGAATCCTTACTTGTGCTTGTTACGCTCTGGATAAGGACCAGTCTGTAGTATCAATATTTTTTCCTTTGTCTTTATCCTTCCTGCTGATGTTTTTTCCCCCATTTCTACATATTTGAGTATCAAAGTAATGGTGTGGTAAGTACAAATTGCCAGCCGAAAAATTTATATCTAGAAAAATAAAAGGGTGATAATTTACTTCAGAGCTTGATTTAGCATGAGCATCCTAAGGCATCGATGTAAAAGAAGTTAGTTTAGTTGTTAGGAATTGTTTATCATTGCAGACTCCTCTCATTATGGAAGATGTCACAGTGGCTTAAGATGGTTTCAACAATAATGTAGCAGATTTAATAATTTTTTATTCATTTTGTAAGTATTTAATTTGTATGTAATGTTTTGTGGTTTTCCTATTTTTATAGCACTTTTTGACTCAGTATTTGATTGTTGCTCTTGCTTATAGGAGAGCATTACAGTGCCTTTGAATTGTAGGAATCTCTCTGGTAGGGGAACTTTCAGCAGCTCAGTGTAGGTTTGCAGCCTGCTGAGCTGTGTCAGCAGTGTGTGAGTGCCCCAGTGGTGGGTGCTAAAGCAGTGTCCTTGTTGTGAAAAACACCAATCACTTGTTTTTAAAATTTTTAAAAGTTTAATAGTAATAAAATGGTGAAAAAATATAGTAACACAATTAGAGTAATAATGATTTGGACAAATTGAATTAGGACAATATGAGACAATAAAAACAAAGAGTTATGGACATCTGGGTACCTTTTTCTTGGCAGCACGAGCCCGTAAAAGGACCCCCGCTAACAAAGGATTAACCCTTAAAAGCAATAGCCTGTTGCATATTCATACACCTCATCCATGATGCATAAATTCCATTCAAACACAGGATTCCGTCTGGGCAGTGTCAGCTTCTTCGTTCTAATCCTGACAGCGCCTCCAAGGTGGGAAGAAGTTTGTTTCTTCTGATAAGAGGGCAATAAATTCCCTTTCTTTGAAAGATTTAGGTGTCCTGTGGCTGCTATCTCACTGCAAGCCCTTTCTGTTAAACAAAGCATCTTACACAGCATAGTTTCTGTTTTAACAATTTTTATAGCCTGTCAGGATCTGTCCTAGTGAACAGATACCCTGATGGTTCATAGGAATGATCTCAGAGTGCAAAAACCAACACAGTACAAGGGGGTTTGCAGTGATAATCAAATCAAATGCAGTTTTATTGAAATAACCACAGCAAAAATGCGATAGAGGGATTAAGGGAGAGAAAAAGATAGAGAAAGAGAGAGGAGAGAGAGAGAGGGAGGGGATATAGCTACCAACGCAGAGACTAAGTCCTTTGGTCCATTCCAGTCGAGGGTCCACCTGCGATGCTGGGGAGATCTCAAAGGCTCTGGCTAACTCAGAACAGGTAGTCCATGCTCTCAGCAGTAAAGGAGAGACATTGTTTTCTTGGTTCAGTGGTCACAACCTGCAGGTAAACATCTCGCTTTGGTCAGCTTGCCTCCCCCACACACCTCCCCCGGGCTGGGGGTTTCAGTCCCAGTCCTTGGAAGGAGCAGAGGGGCCTTTTAGGAGTTTCATGTCTCAGTCTTTAGTGGAGAAGCTTCTTACATCTCAGTCTGTCTGTCACGGTGGTTGTAAAACAGGTGAGGGTCTTCTGTGGGAGACCACCTGAAACTCAGGACAAGTCCAGCCAGGCCGAGAGGTGGGACAGCTTCCAGAGCTGCTATTGTTGCAAACGGGGCACGGTGCCCTCTTCTTAGCATACAGCAAACACACCTGTGAAAACATAGCTTAACACTGAGCTTTCAGGTCTCAGGGCCCGTGGTGTGTGACTTTTCTCCTTCAGAGCCAGATATTCTAGAAAGGGGGGGGGGGGTCTTCTCTTCAGTGGTCCTCAAATGATGATTGTCAGGCAGATGAGGGAAAATTCAGACAGACTCTCACAAAACTATATTTAACACAGTACTTAAGAGAATTAATACAGCATTAATTCTTTCTAACACAGCACATATAACATTCATCTGAATATTTGCAAAAAGCCAATCGTAACATACGTGCATTTTTTCCCTCTTGTGCTTGCAGAGAGCCACATCCTGGAGGACGTGAACCGCTGCATCGTGGCGCTGCGGGAGCAGGACGCCGAGGGCCTGGACCGCGCCGCCGGCGCCATCCGCGGCCGCGCCGCACGGGTCGCGCACGTCGTGGCGGGGGAGATGGACAACTACGAGCCCGGAGCCTACACCCAGGGGGTGCTGGGGCACGTGCAGCAGCTCTCCGGGGCTGGTAAGGCCGAGCACGAGGCTTTCATTGCCTGTCGCCTTTCCTTGGTGCGCTGCCTTCAGCGGGGATCCCGCGGGCATTGCTGTAACACATGGGGGTGCACCGATGGTTCCCTCTGATGTGGCTCCTTTCAGCCAGCTGTTGAGCTAGGACAAGACCATGCGGTTCAAACTGATTTTTAATGTTTTATTTGAATTACATGGTCTCTGTAAGCTTTCTTGAGTTATGGCATCCCCCGTTACTGGCGTCCTTAATGCATGTAGCATTGTTTGGAGACTTGGAGCTAATGAGGTAGCAGCTTCCCACTTCATTGCATCTCACCATGCCTGCTCTAAGCAGATGAAAGGCAAACTCGGTGAAGGACGTGTGTCACAGACATCTTTTGTGAAAAATCCTTTCTTTAGGATTTTTTCCCCTTCTGAGAAGCTGTGGCCTCAGCAACAAAGTGTAAACAATGGTTATCTGCTGCTGTGGAATGCAACAGGTGGATCCGTGATTGGTCTCGGGTGGATGTTTGGATTTACTGACCACTCACGGCAGAGCTGGGTCTCACTCTCTGCTGAGACACAGACCTTTGTTATTCATTCTTTTCTATTCTTACCTTAGCTAGCTTCTGAGAACTTTCTCTCTATTTCTTTTATTATAGTCATATTGTAATATGTATCATAACATAATAAATCAAGCCTTCTGAACATGAGGTCAACATTCTCACCTCTCTCTTCATCCTGCAACACTTGTGACCACTGTGACAGATGTGCATGATTTGTGTGTGCTCCCAGTTTAAAGACTGTTAAGCAGTAATCAGATGTCCCACAAAGTCTTCCGTTTTACAAAACAAATTTGAAATTTTCTAAAACGCTTAACAGTCTCCTTTACATTTCCATAATATTAAAACAGAGGTCATCCTATATTGGAAAATGCCTGTACTGGCCACAGGGGGTGAACCTGCACTGTTCTATAAATGGTTCCATAAATGTTTTCCATAAATGAATCTCTGGCTTTACTTAATTAAAAAAAAAAATCTATGGTATTCTCAGTACTTCCATGTTTTAAATGGTTGCAAGTCTCATAGTGGGGAGCTAAACTGCTCCTGAGAGATTTTCTGGCAAGTCTGCACATCCCTGGAATATAGGATTTGGCTTCCTGAACTCAGAGATCTAATTCCTTGCTCTTTCAATCTAAACAAATGTCGAGTACCTTACATTTAACTGACATTTTACCACAAGAAAAGGCAGGAATTTTGTTTGAGCTCTTTCTTAGTAAGTTCAAGTATGTCCAGGGCAGAACTGCCCTCATGTGAACAGGAGTAAACTGACATTGCAGTGAAGTGGCAAAAGAGAAGAATGAGGAGAGTTTGAAATAGGCTTGCCTGTTTTTATCTTTTTTTCTGATATTTTGATGGGAAAATTGAAAATTTTTCACCATTGCACTCCTTTCTTCATGATTTCTGGAAGTACTGTGACGAATACTGAGAGGGAAGCTGCATAGAAAAGCATAGTTTAGATTCTCATGTAAAAGCTGAGCCTGTTTTTCTTGAAACTAGTACTGCTTAAAGACTTTGGGAGTTGGCATTGATTTCTGTTCTGTTGCCTTGCTTTGACAGTAATATATATAATATACCTGAACCTGTCCATCTGCAGGAGACAGGGAGGCATAAAACTGGTTGTGGTTGGAATGTTTGCTTGTTTCAAGGGACATCAAGCATGGTCACAATCTCAAATGACTTTGCAGTACTTCAGAGAATTCACTGTCTTTATATTGATCAATAGGAGGGCAAAAAAGACACACACTTTTCATTTTCACCTGTATTTGTGATCTGCAGTGAACACATGTTGAACTGAGAGGGCTGCTTGGTTTTGTTTTATTTAATTTACAGGTAAAATGCAGGTAGGTTGCAGCCCACAGGTGTAACCTAAACCATTCTATCCCAGCTGGGTCTTTCAGCTGATTGCAAGGGGAAAGCTCACCAGGAGAGAACTCTGTATTTATGCTGCCATAAACTCCTCAGTTAACTTCCACAACAACCTCAGGCAGTGTAGGGTGTCCTTTATGCCTAAGGAAGAGGTAAAGTGTTACTCATGAGAAATTACTGCAGGCAGAGTTTAGAATTAGTGAGAACAAAATTAAAGACAAAGAGCATACATGAAAATTGCAGAGAACTAAAAATAAAAATGGAAGAGTGAATGGGAGAAGAAATAGGAAAGATGCAAATTGGAGGTAACAGAAGGGAGGAAATGTGCATAAAGAGGAGCAGATATATTTACTGTTTCTTTTGACAAAGATCAAGGTTAAATTGTAGCATATATGATGAGGTAATGTATAAGAAAAGAAAGATATTGAATTCTCTGCATTGCAGTATGTGAGGAAAGAGCAAAGATCACTATATGTCTCTTATTGCATTTTGATAGGGTTTATGTACTATTGTATCAAAGTAAAATGAAACTTTTAGGAACTCTGTTTTATAAAATCCTAAGGTATTTCTTCTTCAGAACTGGAAGGGTGATCTTGTTCTGTTCTTTTAAATACCAGTCTCCTCTGTTATTTTATTGCCTGCCAGAGACTGCAGCAGTTAAACTTTAGTCAACAATTTATATTATGGCATATATCTGTTGGTAGAGTAAAAGGTTTGTATTGTAAATTTGGTCTGCAGTTCTGCTTTAATGCTGAACTCTAATGATATACATATAAGTATAAAAACATAAATTCTTTAGTTACTTCAATGTCTACAGATCTTTTAAGAAAAACAAGGAAAAGGGTGGAGACAAAGATGACAAGTATTTTAACTGCAGTGAGCCAAAGACATTTAACTTTTAGACTTTTTTGGAGTGCTTGGGTTTGTGTTCAGTGATTTTCTTTAAAACCTTCACAGCCTTCAGTTACATTTTGGCAGCATATTTTAGCATATTATGTGCCTGTATGAATGAATTGATTTAGTTACACTAATGTAACACCAGGATTGGTGTTGTGATCACCTTCCAGTCTCCCCTTTCCCTTCATAGCCCTTTCAGTGTGGGTGCTTCTACAGCCCTGTATTAATACTGACCTCCTACACCTGAATCTTTCTTGTGCAGTAATTTATTAATTGATTCTCCAAGAGGAATTAAATCTACTGCATTGCTTTTTTCTGGGGAAAGGTAATTTACCTTAGCCATAAAAAGACAGTGCTGTTTTCATGATACAAGCCTCCTTCCATCTTGGGCTTTTTATGCAGCTTTTCCATTTCTTGCAAGCCTGTGTGCACCAAGCTAATGGCTTGTACTTTCCTGGCTGCTTCACCTGCCTTTTTTAATTCCAGTTTACAGATTTGTCACAGCAGCTTATGTGAAATGCCTGGCAGTTTCCTTTGTCCCCTGCCTCGAGTCTTCTGCAGTAGGGATTGTCTTTCTTTGGAAATGTGGCTCTCTTTCACCCAAAAGGCACCCTCCAGAGAGAATGCAAGAGGGGTTGTCTGTATTCTCCTGCCCACTCTGACATTTAGTACTTATGTTGTCATCTTCTGGTAAAGCCCCCTGAGCCACTGTGGGGAGACAGGAGCACTTCAGAGACTTCTCTGGCTTTTCCTAAGGGTTTCTTCAGATGGGATGAATGGGCAGTTGAAGGTCCTTCCCTCTTGTTGTAGAACAAAAGATACCAATATGACTGACTTTATTCCAAATTATTTATTTAGGGGTGGCTAAAATGAGGTGAGTACACCTTACTCATTCTGTGGGGCACACAAAAACAATAAGTTCTTATTAATTTAAAAAGGTTAATTTAGAATTTTATTAATTCAGAAAGTTTTTAATGAAAAAGTATTTTCCACTAGTTGTTCATCACTGTCAGAATAAGATCTAAAGAGGATACTTGCTGTTCAAGTCTGTTTAGTGTTCAGTGATTTTCACTCTTGCTTATGAAACCCAAAGACTGCTGAAGAAGAGAATTGACTTCTGTCACTTCAAAATAGATAAAGAAAGAAAATCCCCAAGCACTTGAAGAAGGAGAGAGGCCTGAGCATGCAAGCTTATAGAATTGGTGAACTTGTGAAATTGGTGCTCAACCCAGACAAGGAACATTTTATCAGCAACTATTCAGCAGAATTATTGTAAGAGCTAAAAGGAAAAAAAAATGGGCCAAGAAAAACACTGAGGGTATTTGCATGACTTAGCCTGAAATATGCTTTTTGATGAATTCCATGGTGATTGTGAGATAATAACTTAAGAAATAGCCCTTGATTCTTGTGGTTTTTACTCTGTTACAGAGTCAATAACTTCCATTTGGTGGAGAATGCAGTGAGGCTTTTTTTTGTAGGACTCTGTTTGGATCCTTCTGTGAAATTCTGTTAAAAATGCTGGCATTAGAAACTGGATTTAGCTTCTGATGTAAGAATGTTCTGAAAAGTAGGGGGAAAGACCAACATTTTTTTGGGTTCCAGGTAATCAAAAAATGACCGTGAACACTGAAATTTCTTTTTGCCGATCTTTTCTTCCTTTCCTCTAGCTCAGAAATATTTTTGCTTCGCTGTTAATAACAGTGCAATGCCCATGTTGATTATAGGCACTGTGTGGGCATTAAGGTGCCTTTAACTGCACATCTGCTTCTTTGAGATGCTGTTGCACTTAGTGATCATGTAAAGCACTGAGAAGAAGCTGCTCTCAGTGCCCAGCACAGATGCCCTGTTCAGGGCAGTCCTTGAGCACACACTCAGAGTCTCCAGGAACTTTCCTCCTCAAGAGAAATCTTAGTTAGAGCAGCCTTGAAAATGCAGCATTGTTATGAAGTAAATACATGTTTCTGAAGGTAAGAAGTTTGGTTTTGTGGTGTTCAGTTGAGTTGTTGATGCTTTTTTGGTTGTTAGGTCATTTTTCTGGATTAGGATTGTAAATACCCTTCTGCTGCCAGTTGTGGATTTGGCACACATGGTCTTGGTCCGTCTGAGCTCCATGGGGAGTGGGAGAGAGGTAATCATTGCTCCCCTGGTAATGAATTTGCCACTTTGGTGGAGCCTGGTTTACCTGCAGCCTGGT